CTCCCCTTGCTGGCCGAGGCCAGGGCCGCCGCGGGGCGAGGGCCCAAGGAGCCCAGTCCAACAGCGACCCAGGCCACTGCCAACCCCCTGCGGGGCCAATCCAGCAGGCAATCCATCCGGCAACCAAAGCAAGTCCAGGTCAAACGCGCGTCAAGCTGGGGCCGAGGGGGCGCTACTCCCCTTACTGGCCGAAGTCACAGCCGCCGCAAAGCCGGGGCCAGATGACCTCGGCTAAGCAGCAGCTCTGACCACGGTCAGCCCCCTGCGGGGCAGCTCTCGGATCCATGCACAGTCTGTTCTTGACCTCGTAGCGTAAAACAAAGACCACCATTAGACTCCCCGTGACGAGCTGCATCGAATCAACACCCATTTAATGCAAAACTATCAACTTTGAAATTTGACCTTTTTGACCTGACCTTGACCTGACCTCCACCAGAAAGTGACCTAAACCGTACCTGATGGTCTTATAACCAACACCACTGAGTTGGAAATGAAAAATTGGCCATAAAACATGCATCGCACAACCTTAGTAAAGTTGGGTTCATGTGGTGACCCTTGGTGACCTTTGATGACCTGACCTGTGACCTGACCTGGTATGACAAGTGACCTCTAATAGCAACATATGTACTAGACAACTGACGTCCTATCGCTGATTTTCGGCAAAATGCGTTTTACTCGGTGTTGTAGCGCTTTCCCTAGAAGACCCGTGAACGGTGAAACATTTTATCTTTGACCTGACCTGTGACGTCATCGGTGACCCCGAGGTCAATGAAATTTGGTTTCCTTCGGCAAATATGACAGGGCTATCGAACGCCGTTTAAATTTTCCGGTTCCGTCCAGTAGTTTCGGAGATACGGGGGGGGGGCAAATAAATGCCCCCCCCCATCGCGCGGAAGGTGGCCGGGAGGCCCACCGCCTGCCGGGTAACGGAAATTTCTGAGTATGAGCGGCCGGCCGGCCATGCGGGCGCTTTTGCGACTTGCGAGGCTTATATCTCAGCAACCACTTGACCGATTTACACGCGGTAAGTTTTGTAGGGTAGCTTCATTCCTTCTACCAAGTATTGGACTATTCCCGATGCATGTGGGTGACCCCTTATGCACGTGCCACATGCAAAACGAAGAGGTGTCAGTTTTGTAATTGTTGCAATATCTCGGTAACTATGTACTTGGCCGATTGCGCTGAAAGTTGGCAACTAGGTAGGCACCCACTAGGCACTGCATATCCCTGTGCCAGAGTTGGGGTGCTGCTGCACGTGCGCACGTGCAGGGGTCGTTTCCAGGGCCCAATCTTACCAATGCCGTGAATAGGATTTGGCAGCACTGGGCGGAGTTTACGGGACTGATAGCAAAGACATCCTTTTTATTTACATCCAGCTAATCTTGGCTAATGATTTTGATAGCGTGAATGATTGTGAATGCTGCCTGAACGAATGAATTAGTGAGTGTGGAATAGTTCTGAAAGTTACCAAATGCCGTGAATGCGCATTCACGGCATTTGGTAAGATTGGGCCCAGATCTCGAGAACGGCTGGACCGATGACGCTCAAATTTGGTACACAGTTAGGGACCAGTTAGTAGGGTGCCGTGCACAAGTCAGTTGGGGCTCATTTTGCACGTGCGCACGTGCAGGGTGCCGCTTCCAAATCTCGAGAACGGCTGGGCCGATTATGCTCAAATTTGGCACATCGCTAGAGACCGGTTAGTAGGGTGCCTTGCACAAGTCAGTTGGACGTACCCCCTCGCAATTTCGCACGTGCAAGGCCCACCCTCTCGCTCGCTCCGTTAGTCGCCCCAAAAGGCGTTATACTGGTTTATGTTCACGACAGAGTTTGAAATAAACAACCAACTCGTTCCTTTTGCAGTGCGATTGTCGTCTAAAGCAATCTACGTTTGGCGGCCATTACGATTGGCTGTTGTTATCACTGGGCAGCGCTTAACTCATGAGTCGTAAGCTCGTAAATCAAGTGTGGCTCCTCACTTGCACTGATTCAAATGAATCGAGTTTAAGCCTAGTCCGTTGAAAAATTAAGGATTTCAGGCGAATCCAAGACGAGTCACGATGCTTATCGTTTGAGTCAGCATTGGGGCATCTGGATCGTCACACCAGTCATGAGTCGAGTCAATCCAGAATTCATGAGTTAAGCAGAATCTTGGGCGTCAATCTTTCAGGTTGTCTCAGCTCTGTAATGGTTACCTATCTCTCTGAATCACATGCCCGGCCAAATGGCCCAGATACTGGGGTAATTTGGCCGCCGTGCAGTCTTGCATAGGCGGCGGAACGGGGAGGGCACCGGAGCACCGTGCCCCCCTTTGATTTTGGCATGTTAACATTAGCCCTACGGGCGCTGCATGGAAAGAATGGGACCAAAAGTCGGCAGTGCCCCCCCCCCCCTTAATTGAAGGTGTTCCGCCGCTACTGGTTCAGGAGACCGATTTTCTTCCAGGCCTCCTTTGAGGAGGTGTTGCCCGTCCGCACGGCTCTGGTGTGCTGATACAGCAGGAGTTGGTCGCTGCTGAGGTCGGCGATGGTGTTGTCCGGCAGATCCAGCTCTGGGCCGCTCACCGGTCGGAACTTCACGAGAGAAAGACGGTGCACAGAGGCGCCGGCTGCCTTGCCCAACAGCCCCGTGAATGATCCGGGTGAAGTCCACTGGTTTTGCCGCCCAAGTTCAAACAAACAAGTCTCAAACGATGTCCAGACCAGAGCCCTGCCGGCGCGGTAACGGGGACAAGGGCCCGTGTGGCGTGTAGGTACTGTATATCTAAAAAGTACGTCCCCTGCTTTGGGCCTCCCACGTTAGGCGAATCGGTAACTTGGCTGAATCCGCCACCGAGGTAGGGAGGGTCGGAGAGGGTCGGAGAGGGGAAGGAGGGGGAGGGAGGGGCACCCGCTCGGCACCAGGCGATACCCGGCTGCCCCGCGCTCCCGCCCTGACCTCCATCCTGCCCTCAGGCGAGGACCGATTTCCTCGGCCCGTAGCGGCTGAGCGGTAAAGCCGAGCTCGAGAGACTTACCTTCATTGGCCCAATCTTATAAAAGGGGTGCTTTCTATACATAGCATTAGGTAATATTTATAGTAATACCAGCAGTGGATGTGGTAAAATATAGTCCAAAACAATCGAAAGCACACCACTGATGGATAATAATACGCCACCCCATTCCAGTAAAGCCACCCACATCTATAGAGGGTGTAATTTCTTAGGGCGTATAATTCACATGGATGGTAAACAGACACACTACCGAAGTTTATTAACCCGCGCCCCGTAGGGCTACCGGCGGACCCTACCACCCGTAGGGGGGGGGGGGCCGTTTCGGCCCCCCCCTAAGATCTCGGAAAGTTACCGGCCGATTTTCAAAATTCAAACGGCATTTGATAGCCCTACCCGGGAACTACCTTGTGACCAAATTTCATTGACCTAGGTCAAACCGATGACGTCACAGGTCAGGTCAAAGGTCAGATTTTCACCGTTCACAGGCAATTCAAGAAATGTGCTGTGAAATCGAGTAAATTGGTAATTTATTGAAAACCATCGATGGTATATTGTTCGTCAAACACATACTTTGCTATCTGAGGTCACTGATACCAGGTCAGGTCACAGCGAGGTCAGGTCACCGGGGGTCACAATATGAATGTGTCGTGTGATACATGTTTTATGGTCCATTTTACATGACAAATGCGATTATGTGGGTTAGGCAGCCTTTGGGGCCAGCCTAGGTCACGTTTCGGTGAAGGTCAGGTCAAGGTCAGGTCAAATTAGGTCAAATTTCAAAGTTGATATTTTTGCATAAAATGGGTATCCATTCGATGCAGCTCATCACGGGGAGTCTAATGGTGGTCTTTGTTTTGCTCTACGAGTTCTAGAATTGCCAAAAATTGAGTTTGAAAATTTGACGTCATCATTTTTGAACAGTTTTTTCGCTATAACTTGGCCAAAAAACGAGGTATCGATCTGAAATTTGGTATGTAGATAGAAGACGGTAGGTACTATCACATATATTCCGGTTTTTTTTCGAAACTCAAAAAACTTTTTGGATGTTTTTGCTAATATATCCAAAAAAATGCTTTTTTGATTTTTGGGGATCAAAACTCAAAAATTTCAAAAATCCGAGATAGCAGTTTTGTAGCCCTGTCAATTCTACACCTTTTATGTCTTGATCATTTTTCTGTATCTTCAAAGCTGTAGGCCTGACAGGTCTTCTCGCGAAGGTCTTTTTTCGGTCGAAAATGACAGAGCATGACGTCACTCTGACGTCATTTGTGGCCAACCTATCACAGCCTCTGGAAAAATTTTTGGTCACAATGTGTAAAATTGATGCCCGGAGGGGTCCTGAAAGTTTGGTGGCGATATCTCCAGCCGTTTAGGAGATATCGACCGAAAAGGACAGGGGGGGGGGGGGCCGTTTCGGCCCCCCCCCCTACGGGGCGCGGGTTAAATCGGCCGCTGGGACCGTCAAGATACGATGGACTGAAATGCAAGAGAACCATTTTGCATTTAATAGCCGTTCTCTGCGCCTTACCTTTAGCCAGTGACGCCATATCCATTCCACGGTATTTATAACATTAGTCTCAGCACCCAATTTCATATAATGAAATTAAATTTCATGCCTGATTTTTTTTTAACCTTGGCTGAAGCGACCCTTCGGGCGCTCTTATGCCTTGTATTGCAAGCAATAATTTTTAAATATCATGCAGAAATAAAAAACAGATTTTGACGCAGCAGCCGTCTAAAGCTTTTTAACTGAAAACGCTCGATTAAAACAGGGATATGTCCTTAGTTTCAACAAAATATGATTTTCAAAGGACAACGAGCGAAATATCGTCAATTAACCAGGTGTAAGACATGACCTAATGCCATGCAGTGTTAACTCCGACTACGGAGTCGAAATCGGTAAGATTTAAGCGACTTAACTCCGACTACAGGCAAACCTGCCGACTCCGATCGACTCCGACTCAGCCCTAGATACCATAGCTCTCGGAGCCGCAAACGATGAACTGACCTGAAGATGAAGGTCCGGCCGGAGAGGAAGTCACAGACTCCTCAGACGTCTCCGAGTGGACGGTCAGCTCCCGGGCCGAGTCGTCTCCGTAGTACACCAGCAGCTCAGAGCCCCGCGGAACGGGCTTTGACGTCCTGCGTAGGTCAATAGATATGTCATAATTGATTAATGTATAACGTATATGCACTATGCAGTCAATATAGAATTAGTAATTAATAGCACATAATTATTTAACCCTCGCATGTGTGCGGCGTTTGCCAGCTCCTAACGTGTAGCGGGGGGGGGGGGGGGGTCGGTTGGACCCCTTCCCCCTTGCCGTTTGGCCCCTGATCGAGCTAGAGCTTCGCGGAAAAAAACGAGCGTGTTGCCCGTGACGAGAGGAAGCCAATGATGCCCAATTTTAAGGTCCTAGGTCATTGGTTGACCTTCCAAGTCAGGTCAATGACCCAAAAGTCGGGAAAATCGGGACCTGTTAGAAAGTCAAAGTGTGGCTGCTATGGGGTTTTTCGGGGTGCTGATCACGAATATCGTGTTAGTTTTGATCACAGATGATATCCTTAAGCATTTAGACCAGGTCAGGTCAGGTCAGGTCAACAAGTAGGGGTCGTGATGGGTATTCGTAGTAGGTGTCAACCGCCTCTGACAGCTTCGTAACATGTTACGAAGGCACCAAAACTACTTCGTAAATGTTCAAATGGTTTCTAAATTCGAATTAAACTAAAATAACTAGCCTAGAAACATGTAAAACTCGAAAAAGTGAACCGAGGTCACCAAAGGCCAATGACCTGACCTGACCTTCAGGTGACCTTGACATCCACCCTAATGCACGGGAGCAACATCGAATCACATGTTGAACGTTTGAAACCACGAAAAGCTTGCAAACGCGCGGCTAATGCGAGCCGACATACGCCGAATCGCGATTCCGGCCAAACATGGCCTCGAGAAATGATATGATATATGTATATGTACCGAAAATGCGTAATTCTATACTGCCTTTCTCAACGGAGTTTGAAACGAAGGTGCCGGGTATGTCGATGGCTGTGCAGGGTGCACAGTAATGTGTTTTTGATAGAATTTTGTAAATTTTTATACCGTTATATTTGATTAGTTCATTCCCACAATTGATAATACATCGACTTCAGACTTTGTGAAAGCGTTGGCAGGCTTGTAGTCCATAAATTGAAAGCAAGCATTAGATGCTTACCACGCTTCATCTTTTTGCGCCAGTTTCGTCTAAAATATGTCACGGCGCGACGGGGACAATTATAACATTCTTGCAGGGGTTAAATGTAACAGGTTATAGGTCACAGGCCATTAGGTCAAGGCCATCAAATTTTCAAGGTACAGGGTGACACAAAAAAAAACGGTCATCACCAAATTTCGAATAACTTCGGAAGTTTTATTCAGATCATCACCAAACTTCGGCCACTTAAGGTCACACCTATGTAGCATACATCCACCAAGTTTCAAGTCTTCATAACGAATACTTTTAGTACAGTGTGTGTTTTACTGACGCTCCACAATGTGCTCCAGGTGAGCGCCACGGCGCTGCAGGGCGTTGGCACACTTGCATCCGGCGGGCAAAGCTGTCGATAACCCGATGGCTGTGCACTTTACAGAGTGCAATGGCCTCTGGAGACAGTGCTCAGGGGGTCAGTTCATCGGTGTGCTACCCCTGAAACGTTATTCTTATCGGGTTATCGACAACTTTGCCCGCCGGATGCAGGTGTGCCTACGCCCTGCAGCGCCGGGGCGCTCACCTGGAGCACATTGTGGAGCGTCCGTAAAACACACACTGTACTAAAAGTATTCGTAGTGAAGACTTGAAACTTGGTGGATGTCTGCTACATAGGTGTGACCTAAAGTGGCCGAAGTTTGGTGGTGATCTGAATAAAACTTCCGAAGTTATTCGAATTTTGGTGATGACCGTTTTTTTTTGTGTCACCCTGTACATACGTCTTCTGCCACTCGTAGATGAAACATTGCTAGAATTAAGAGAACTGTAAGCTTTGTGGCAATCGGCAGCTTTTTACTCGATTTATTTGCGAAAAGCCGAGGGAGAACAGGTCCATCCAACCCCCGTATAAGTACAAGGTTTTAAGCCTTTTTTTCCTGAGAAGAACCGTTCCTGTACCATGTCTGGGAAGATGAACAAGTGTTCAACACGTTTGTTTAATCAAAGTTTTGGAAAAAATTGTGTTGCTGTAACCTGTTAGTTAACATGGTAAAATTGTCCCCGGGTGGTTTTACTTTTGATCCCGTACCTGGGGTGAATTGTAACAGCTGAACGGACTTTTTGGGACCACAATTTTGACCCGAAAAAGATGTATTTCGGAAATGTTTAAACTGCAATTATAAGACAAAACATCATATGTAGTTTATGAAAATAAAAGAAGGAACTCTATAACTGCAAACGTTTTTGCACCACATGATCAAATGCAAAAAAAGCTACCATTGAACCCGGTCTCCCCTTGAGTCGTGTCCTTACTTGTCCCGGTCCACCTCAGTGAACCCGATGGAGTCCTCAGACGGTGACGGTGATCGATGTCGGAACTTTTCCTCCTTCACCAGCGAATGGAGAGCGTGGTCCGACAAAGGATCGTCGTCCCGCACCGAGGGAGACGACGGCCGCTCAACCTAGAGCAGATAAAAAAAAAATCGGAAACGTTAAACGAAACATGTTACCCACTTCACTGAATTGGGACATATCTTACATGTGCATAACAAGTTGGTAGAAAAAAAGCAATAATGAGAAATGAGCACCAAGCATTTGTCCGCTTACCCTTGGTGAAGTGACTTCAATCTTTATCTCCTCCTTCACAACTGGCCGAAAGTCGCTCTCAGAGCCACTGTCTATGGGAGTAGAGTCCCTCAGCCTCTGAGACTTCCTCACACACTGTGATGAGACCCATTCTTCGTCACTGTCAGGAGAGCCCTCCCGAGACCACTTTGGTTCTTCTGGTGACGTTGACGCAGCCCGCATGAGCGGCAGTAGTTCAGACACTGGTGGAATAGGGGTCCAAAGACACTTGTCAGTTCACGTCGAATATAACTATACCGAATCACAATAAGCCAAGTAGATAGGTAGCAAGACAGTAATTAAGCAGTTCCTTATACATAGTATTAACCAGTATAACGCCTTTTGGGGCGACTAACGGAGCGAGCGAGAGGGTGGGCCTTGCACGTGCGAAATTTCGAGGGGGTACCTCCAACTGACTTGTGCACGGCACCCTACTGACCGGCTTCTAGCGATGTGCCAAATTTGAGCACAATCGGCCCAGCCGTTCTCGAGATCTGGGAGCGGCATTCTGCACGTGCGCACGTGCAAAATGGGTCCCAACTGACTTGTGCACGGCACCCTACTAACTGGTCCCTAACCGTGTACCAAATTTGAGCGCCATCGGTCCAGCCGTTCTCGAGATCTGGAAACGACACCTGCACGTGCGCACGTGCAGCAGCACCCCAACTCTGGCACATGGATATGCAGTGCCTAGTGAGTGCCTACCTTCATGCCAACTTTCAGCGCAATCGGCCAAGTAGGGGAGAGTGGGGCAAAGCGGCCACCCGGGGCAAAGCGGCCACCCATCGTTTTAGCCCTCCACATCTAGTGTCAGTTCCAATTTATGGTTTCTAATTATACTTCTCTTCGCGGCCGTTCGAATGAGCCAGACCGTGGTTTCACGCCCATCGCCATTGTTCTGTGAAACACGGAAAAGCATTTCTTGCCAGGTTACCAACTATGTTTACAGTTTTTAAATGTTATCTTATTCCATAACCATTTGGAATTTTTATAAGCGCTCTTGTCCATGCATTGTTTGGTTATCGTACATGACTCATACCAATTTTAATGCTTTTTACTCCACTTATAGCTGAGCTGGAATATTTTTGCCTCGGACGGTATGCGCGGGGCAAAGTGGCCGGGGCAAAGTGGCCAGCCCCCAATTGGCCATAACTTGTTTCCATCTGGATAAAAACATTATTTGTATTCAAATGTGTCGTCAGGCATTCAGTTTGACCATTTTTCGGTTACAAGAGTTACCAAATAATGCAGTTAAGTGTTTTTCTATGAAAATCCTTTATTTGTTTATCTACAGGTGGGAAGATAACTAAGTAAACATCCATCCTCGCTTGAACCTTGTCACCATCAAATACCCTAGTCGTATATGAGGCAACTATTCAGTTTCTCATATCGGGACTTGAGAAGTCGCCGGTGGCCGCTTTGCCTCAGGGATGGGGCAAAGTGGCCAATATGCTATAGGTTTAAAGTTTTGTCAATATCTCCCATATGTGAACGCCTTTGGAAATGAAACGCAGTTGGAATAAAAGGCAATTTAATAGGGATCACATTGGTATAGAAAGAATCTTTCCAAGTTTAGAAATCAAGCGTCGGTATCGTAAGAAGCGTTAGGGTGGCCGCTTTGCCCCACTCTCCCCTAGTTACCGAGATATTGCAACAATTACAAAACTGACACCTCTTCGTTTTGCACGTGGCACGTGCATAAGGGGTCACCCACATGCATCGGGAATAGTCCAATACTTGGTAGAAGGAATGAAGCTACCCTACAAAAATTACCGCGTGTAAATCGGTCAAGTGGTTGCTGAGATATAAGCCTCGCAAAAGCGTCCGCACGGCCGGCCGGCCGCTCATACTCAGAAATTTCCGTTAATCTAAGGAAAGACTCCGCTCGCTTCGCTCGCTCCGTAATGACACGTAATATCATCAATGTCAATGATTACGGAGCGAGCGAAGCGAGCGTAGTCTTTCCTTAGATTAACGGAAATTTCTGAGTATGAGCGGCCGGCCGGCCGGCCGGCCGTGCGGACGCTTTTGCGAGGCTTATATCTCAGCAACCACTTGACCGATTTACACGCGGTAATTTTTGTAGGGTAGCTTCATTCCTTCTACCAAGTATTGGACTATTCCCGATGCATGTGCGTGACCCCTTATGCACGTGCCACGTGCAAAACGAAGAGGTGTCAGTTTTGTAATTGTTGCAAAATCTCGGTAACTACTTGGCCGATTGCGCTGAAAGTTGGCATGTAGGTAGGCACCCACTAGGCACTGCATATCCATGTGCCAGAGTTGGGGTGCTGCTGCACGTGCGCACGTGCAGGGGTCGTTTCCAGATATTGAAAACGGCTGGACCGATTGCGCTCAAATTTGGTACACGGTTACGGAGCAGTTAGTAGGGTGCCGTGCACAAGTCAGTTGGGACCCATTTTGCACGTGCGCACGTGCAGGGTGCCGCTTTCAGATCTCAAGAACGGCTGGGCCGATTGTGCTCAAATTTGGCACATCGCTAGAAACCGGTCAGTAGGGTGCCGTGCACAAGTCAGTTGGAGGTACCCCTCGAAATTTCGCACGTGCAAGACTCACCCCCTCGCTCGCTCCGTTAGTCGCCCCAAAAGGCGCTATACTGGTACAGTATGTCAACAACAATGTACCAAAAAGCAGATTGTAAAGGCCTGGCTACACTATGCGTTTTCTGCGTGCGTTTTTGCAGGTTTGCGTGTTTTGCGTAATATCGTTCTAGGAAAAAATTTATAAACAATATAATTTTTACTTTGGTTATATACAAAAGCTAATATAACTCTTAGGTAACTAAAATTTAAGGTGAAAAACATCACAAAAACGTAATATCGTTCTTTTTTCTAGAACGATATCACGCAAAACACGCAAACACGCAAAAAACGCACTAAGAAAACGCGTAGTGTAGCCAGGCCTTTACAAGGCAAATATAGTAGGGTACTCACACGCCCAGTGTTGATAGCCACTGGTTTTAACCCTGTTGGCAGAAAGCCTACTTGTCTACCTGACCTGACCTGGTCTGCCCTTAACCCGCGAGTTGCTGGGGGGGGGGGAGCGTTAAACGCCCCCACTTTTTTCGCCGGGTCATAGCATAAAAACGGCGCGGCGCAGGCGCGCCAAATTTTGGGTACCTGTAGGGAATTGATTGAAGTTCATTGTGACAAAGTTTCAAAAAAATCGGTCGGAAAATTTTTTGTGATATCGAGGTTTTAGTGACGTCATGATTTCTGACTTTTCGACCAAAAACGGCATATGTTCAAAAAATCATATAAAATCACAGAATAGACATACAGACATGCCGTAAACGCCATTAGACTGCCAATACCATGAACAATTAAATGGCTATCTTCGATTATTGATTATCGTTCCGCATTTTCCAAAATCTTGAACTGAATCTTGGCAATTTCTCGTGACTACTTCACGACCATGATACATGCATTTCTTAAATTGAACTTTTTTAGCCAAACACGTACATATATGATAAAATGAATGTCACCATCGTGTTCTACGCCCCAAATTACCCATAAAACATGTGTCACAGGCTGCGAATATCAGTTTTGATTTTCGAGGATATGTGCCTACCGGGTTGACCTGACCTTGAACCTGACCTATGCTTGACTGACCCCTACATGGAGCTGACACTCTTGTAGGCCTTATATGATGGATTGTGCACCGTTTTGACAGAGTTTATGACGAGAGGCGCCCATTGCGAAGTCCTGAAGTCCATACTACTGAAAGCCCGATTTCAGGTGTTTGACCTGACCTTGACCCGACCTGTGACCTCAAAATTCAACTTAAAAGTACTCATCTGAAGCGTCTCGTCGCGTTCTTTCGTTTGCCGCCTCGTGCGTTTCGCTGCGCCTATTGGTTCTCGAGTTATCGGCTGGGGGCGTTTAACGCCCCCCCCCCCCAGCAAACGGTGGGTGGCGAAATACCCCAGCAACTGCCGGGTTAATGCATAGTCATCGTCTTGGTTCAAAACTAGTATAACATTTGTAAACTGGACCTCGTTAGCCCAATAACAACCTCAATTCATACAGTTCTAGCAGGTCCAGATGTTCCCTACTTTTGGGAGTTGACGTGGGATGTTCGAAGCCCTTGACATTGGGTACCTATCATCGGCTTTCTCTCGTCTTGGCATGCTCGTTTTTTCAGCGAAGCTCTAGCTCGATCAAGAGCCGAAAGCACTCTTAGTGTTACTTCAGTATACCTAAACATGTTAGCAACTGGGAAAATACTAATAAGCGTATTCAATAGACAGCTCTCAATACGCAGCTCTTTCAAAGCCCTTTCGCCAACTTCGCCTCAGATTTGACCTAAGGTCTGTGGCTTGGCTTGCAGAAGACGAACAGCCAAATGAACGGATTTTGTCGAGACATTTGCTCTATAACAACTTATGATTTACCCCGCGTTCGATGTCTCTTGGACTGTCTCGAACGACGAAGATTCTACGCCGTCCGGCCAATCACGTTCCAATTTTTCTCCTCTGGCACCTGAGCAAAAATGTTATTTTGGGACGTTGATGAGCTATTGCCCCCCCCCCCCCCCTTAGTTTTTTCCGATATAGCTCCAGAACCGCTGCGCCGAATCCGATCGTCACCAAACTTTCAGTACCCTACCGGGAGTAGCTACCAGTATAACGCCTTTTGGGGCGACTAACGGAGCGAGCGAGAGGGTGAGCCTTGCACGTGCGAAATTTCGACGAGGTACCTCCAGCTGACTTGTGCACGGCACCCTACTAACCGGTCTCTAGCGATGTGCCAAATTTGAGCACAATCGGCCCAGCCGTTCTCGAGATCTGGAAGCGGCACCCTGCACGTGCGCACGTGCAAAATGGGTCCCAACTGAGTTTTGCACGGCACCCTACTAACCGGTCCCTAACCATGTGCCAAATTTAAGCGCCATCGGTCCAGCCGTTCTCGAGATCTGGAATCGACCCCTGCACGTGCGCACGTGCAGCAGCACCCCAATTCTGGCACATGGATATGTATTGCCTAGTGGGTGCCTACCTACATGCCAACTTTCAGCGCAATCGGCCAAGTAGTTACCGAGATATTGCAACAATTACAAAAGTGACACCTCTTCGTTTTGCACGTGGCACGTGCATAAGGGGTCACTCACATGCATCGGCAATAGTCCAATACTTGGTAGAAGGAATGAAGCTACCCTACAAAAATTACCGCATGTAAATCGG